CTCCCCCAGGGCCTCACTGGGTCGGGACCCTCCCCCCAGGAACCCGCCTATCCCGGACCCTCCCCGCCTCTCTCTCGGGGCCGCCCCGAGCCCAGACTCTCCCCCTCCCCAGGGGCCGCCCGGGGCCCGGACCCTCCCCCTGGCCGCGAGGAACCCGGTCCCAGGCGGGAGGTGTGCTGGGGGCAGGGCGCCCGCGACCCGGAAGCGGGGACGAACACAGGGGAGCCCGAAAGATGGCGGCAGTGGCCGTGAGCAGCGCCAAGCGGAGCCTGCGGGCCGAGCTGAAGCAGCGTCTGCGCGCGATGAGCACCGAGGAGCGGCTGCGCCAGTCCCGCCTCTTGGCCCAAAAGGTGCGAGACCGCGAGGTACGCCACCGCAGCGAACCGCCACGCTCGCGGAACGGCCAGGGGGGGCTCTGGCTTGGCGGCCTGCGCAGGCGCAGCCCCGGCGCGCGCACGTCGCTCCCGGGCGCGCGCACGTCTCAGCAGGAGCCGGGAGGACGCCTCCGGGGGCGCGCACGTCCTTCTGTCGGGGGAGCGCGCGGCGAAGGGGTCCCGGGCTAAGGAGGGCGAGGGTGGAGGTGGATGCATGACAGCCAGCTAAGGTGAGAGCAGGGTGGGGGCAGGGAGCTCTGGCGGGCTGAGCGGCGGGCACTGAGCCCGAGGGGCCCCCTGAGACCCCGGGAACGTGGACGCGCAGCTAGAGCCCAGTCGCCTCAGGGACGCGAGCAGAGAAGCGCGCGCCCGTGCACCTGCCCCCTCGCGCGCTGCCCGGGAGCGTGGGTCGCCCACGGGAGGCGGGGGCGGGTCTGCGCAGTCACACGCGTCTGCGCCCCTGCGCCGGTTCCGACGGGCGTCCGAGCCCTCTCCGCAGAGCGGCGCGGAGTTCCCTGCAGTGAGCTGTGCAGCCGGAATCCCATCCTCACCCTTCCCTGCTCCGTCGTCCACCCATTTCCCAAGTGCAAGGTCCCCATGGGTTACAGCGGCCAAGCAAGCCCACCTCTCCCTCTCCTTCCACGCAGGTGTGCAGGGTTGGTGTGCACGTTCGCACCGAGTTACTGGAGCTGCAGTGAGAGGCGTTGCCGGGTGCACGGGTCGTGCAGACAGGTGGAGGAGCTTGGCCTCGCTGGCAGGTGCTTAGGTCTTAGCGCGTTATGTCACGCACAGGGAGCACTCACTGTGGTCCCCACTGGCCACGTGCGGGTGGCAGGGATGAAAAAGATTTGGTCGTTGCTCTAAAGGAGAGTCTGCACTGAGTAGAGAATCGCGGTGCTATCAGGTATATGGTGAACACCAAAGCTGTAGAAAGCGCCACGGGAAGATGTTCAAGATGCACCTTGTGGTGGAAGATGGAATTTGTCAGGTGAAGGGAAGATGGTGTGGCACGTGCAAGAATATTCTGGCAAGAGAAAGAAGCACGCTAGTGAACACGGCCTGTGGAGCTACACAGATCTGCGCCTAATCTGGCTCCACTGCATTTTAGCCGCGTATGGCCATGGCCGAGTCTCCTAATCTTTCCGAGTGTCTGGTATCTCATCCATTAAAGGGATAATGTCATCCTTTTAGGCCTATTGTGAGGGTTTAAACAGGTGGGTAAAGGGATGAGTTTGGTGCTTCACATTTTTTTTTTTTTTTTACGGATTTTATTTTTAAGTAATCTCTACACCCAAGCAAGGTGGGGCTTGAATTCACAACCCCAAGATCAAGAGTTTCGTGCCTCACTGACTGAGCGGGTCAGGCATCCCTACACATGTTTTCGATCTATCCTTTAGGAAAAGCATATTGGCAGCATTTTGGAAAACGGGAGTCTGTGCAGTTGAGAATCAGCCGGACCTGGCAACTGGTTGGAGAGAGCTCAGAGAGTACTGGAAAGGAGAGGAGTCTTCTGTGATTTCAAAATTCAGAGCTGGGGGTTTAAGGTCACCAGACGGGAGGCACATAGGAGCTGGAGCAGATTTTGGAATGGTGTGGGGAAAATAAAGATGAGTTCAGTTTGTCTGCCTGTAGAAGATTAGAGTTCATAAATCCCAGGTGGGAACAGTAGCTGCGCAGACACAGAACCGGTGACAAAATAGGGTGACAGCTCAGAGCTGGCAACAGAGGAGAGAGAAAAGTTGAAAAGCAGACCATGACCCTCCGTACTCCGTACATTTTACCCCCTACAAATACACACATACAAGAAATGTTTCACAGCCCAGTGTTTCACAATTCTTACTATATACAGTAAACTTTACTATATTGTTTTACTTAAAAATGCTGATTGTAACCTGCTATTGATTTCATGGTCGACCAATGGATCATGGCCAGAAACCTCCACATGCTGTGATTAGAACAGTGTTTTACCATAGTGCACGTTCAGTAAAGGTGCTAAGTGATGCCTTTCTCTCAGTAACGTTTTTTAAAAGGCACATTCTTAATGACACAGCAGCTTTTTTTATAATTTAGAAATTTATCGGAAAAGCGATGTACAGTGAAGAAATTCAACTTTATGCCATATCTTGACTCCCAACTAAATAAGGAAATTAGTGCCCTGTACTCTGTCTTCTGTTCCATCTGCCAATTTCTGACCCCTGTATCATCGTACTTAAATTGTCAAGTTTTATATTTGTGTTCTGTTTTATTTATTTTTTATTTTTTTATTTTTTTTTCAAAGATTTTATCTATTTATTTGACAGAGAGACACAGCAAGAGAGGGATCACAAGCAGGGGGAGAGGCAGAGGGAGAAGCAGGCTTCCTGCTAAGCGGAGAGCCCGATGCGGGGCTCGATCCCAGGACCCCGGGATCATGACCTGAGCTGAAGGCAGTCGCTTAACAACTGAGCCACCCAGGTGCCCCTGTGTTCTGTTTTATAATTAGAATGAGTCTACTGAGCATTTTCTGTGACTGATTTCCAAATTTGGAATTTAAGTAAATAGTATTTACAATATATTGGTTATATAGATAGTATTCACTGTAAAACGAAGTTGTATGATTATAAGAAAAGGATGTATATTTCTATGTCGCTAGATGTAGCTAGGCAGAGAATGTTGCAAGTGTCATTACTGAGAACTCTCTTTCATTATGCTCTAAAATTGCTCAAAATCGTGACATGTTTTAGTCTGATCCTATTTGGAATTTACATTTCTAATTTAGCTCTGTGTTTTTCAAGGAGCTTCTGATCGCCTTTATTTTTCCTTTTTGGCAAAACAAGAATATGCATTCATCTTATCAGTAGATTCTTTTTCATTTTGTTTGTTTAAATAAATCCATTTTCTTTCCGAGAGCATTCCAGCCCCCTGCTCCCTCTGCTCTAGCCCAGTGCACAGCCCGGGCTTCCTCCCACCCTGCTTCTGAGTTAGGGCTGCTACTCGAACCCAGTATCTTCCTGGTTGGGTTTCTTTCTTCCCATCTTACTAGAGTATATTCTCAAGTAATTTTTTTCTTTTTAGAAATATCTATGGGGGTAAACTTTTTAAGACTTTATGCATTAGAAAATGTCTTTACCCTCATATTTGACTGATAGTTTGAATTTCAAATTCAAAAATATTTTCCTTTGTTCTGCTCAGCACTCATGACCTTCATTCAATCTGAAGACTGGTATCTTTATCTGTTATATCTTTGATTACTTCTTTGCCTTTGTGCCTCTCTGCAATTCCTGTGAACCAAATAGTGATAATCCTATGCTGACTTTCTGTGTCTCTTAAGATTTTTTTTTTTTTTTTTTTACTTTCCCCATTTCTTTGTCTTTTTCTCCTACTTGAAGTCTTTCTCCTGATCTTTCAAATTTTGGTATTCTTAATTTTAATCTTCAAGTATCATTTCTTGATTTTCTGATTGCTTTCTTTCCATAGCAGCCTGTTGTTATTTTATAGATGCAACTATCTTGAATTTGAATTTAAAAATTCCCCATTCTCTGAATTATCTCGGTTTCCCACTGGATCCCACACCCCCCCCCATAGTCCTTCTCTTTTGTGTTTTGGCTTCCTAAAATGTTTGCTGAACCTTTATTGTATTTATGAATGAAGGTGTGACATCTCCTGGGGATCTCTGCCTTTTGCAGTCACTTGGGGAGGGATGGGTTCTTCCTGCCCCATAGCCATGTCCTGTGAGTATTATGTCAGCTGCTGTTTGTCCCATCTCCTCTCCGTCTCACAGAAAGTAGTCACGTGTCTGTTCTCCTGTTCTCAGTGCTATAATGGTTTTCTCTTTTCGTGCTTCTTTACTGTCATATAAATGAGATTTCAGGAAGTAGGAAAGATAAATGCTTACGCACAGCCTCGCCCTGAATTTTAACCGATGTCTATTGCTGCGTATTCAGCTCTTGATGTTTCATGTTCTCTTTAAAGAGAACAAACACGACAGACACTTAACTTTCTCGGAAAGTACTTGGGTACCAGAAGCCTCAGGTCTGCGCAGGGTCTGGGTGTCGCATTTCTTTTCGTTTCGCCTTATTTCAGGCCTTGTCACAGTGTTGTAACTTCCCAAGGAGATGGAGCTCACTTCCTTCCTCGGCCACCGTCTGGCGTGTTCTGTCTACTGAATTTCTGTGCGCTCCTTTCTATTAGGAGTAGCTTGACTTTCTGTATCTGTCTCTTTCTACCAGTCCTATTTATAAGCCAGCGTTGCAGTAGCTGGGTCTTCTTAGCTCGGAAGAACAGAAAAGGAAGGGGAGCTAAGAGCTAACTTGTGAGTCTGGGGCAGTTCTGAGGTTAACTGCTCTGTGGCCGGCAAAGCTCAGCTCCTCTCCTGCCTGATGCATGAACAAACTGAGCATGATGGCGTTCTCTCATCCCGGGGCCACCTTCTTGCAACCGGGCATTTGTTTCTAGAAGGACTGCGCCTCTCCAGGATCCCCACCTCCCATCTCTCCCATCTCCCCTTAACATCTGTTTGGACAGAAAAGTTGTAAGAGGTGGGGACAGAGGTACACAGAGCTGAAGAAGGACAGGCATGTCCCCTGCTTCCAGGAGCTCACAGCCTGGTTAGAATACTGTAGTTAGGACTCGTGAAACAGTTAGTAATCAGCCCGATGATACATAAGTCAATGTTAAGTGCACTCTTAAGTGTTGTAAGTGTTCTGCAGAAATCAGGAGAAGCGAGCGCCCGAGTTGGCTTAAATGGGTGGAATTTAGGGGGAGATGAGCCTGACAGTCCAGGGAGTGAAGAAGCTCGTGAGAACCGAGGTTCAGAGTTAAAGCAAGGCAGAGATGCTCAGGGCAGTGTTTGGGGTGACCGAAGGCAGCTGGCACGTGCGGCTGGAGGGCAGGCCTGGGATTCTGTGTGCAGACAGCAACTTTCTAACGAGTTCTCGCTCCTGCTAGAGAAAGACGACAAGGGGTCAGAGAGGTGGTTGCTGGGTTCAGAACCAAGCCCTGGGCTTCAGGATGCAGCCCTGTCCGGCCCCCTCTGCCACTCTGCTCTCCGTTGGTGATTTGTGTTTGGATAGTTCAAGGAGCTGGAGAAGGTGGAGAGAGAAGGGAGAAAGCATGAACACCGTGAAGGGGGGCGCTACTGGTGTTTGCATGTGTAACCTTGGGGGATCAATGTGACTGCCATTTCCCATTTAGGTGATGGCCCACAGTCGGTATCAAAAGTCCGAAAGGATTTCCATCTTCCTGAGCATGCAAGACGAAATCGAGACAGAGGAGATCATCAAGGACATTTTCCGGCGAGGCAAAACCTGCTTCATCCCGAGGTACCAGTTCCAGAGCAATCACATGGATATGGTGAAGCTGGCATCGCCCGAGGAAGTCTCCTCGCTTCCCAAAACGTCCTGGAACATTCATCAGCCCGGAGAGGACGAGGTTCGGGAGGAAGCTTTGTCGACAGGTGAGCGCTAACGGTATTGAGACTGACATCCCAGGGTGCTGGCAGATGGGGACATTCGGGTCGTGGGGGCCGCTTTTCTTACAGGGACGAACGGTGTGGCACTTCTGTTGCAAGACACCCTCGTTACCCGGCTTAGGGCGAGATGCCCCCGTAAGCTGTGAGAGTAAGGTATTCAGGTGTGGCCGCCTTTGCCCTTAGCCGTGGGTCGGATTCGACATTTTCCCTGGAGAATTTCATCATTTCCCATGATCCCCCTTATGCTCCATATATTAATGAGCACATTATTATTAATGCTAATAAGCTTTTCTGTCTCCGCTTCAGATCAGGCACCTGCCTTCTGAACATCTCCTCTTGGATGTCACATGGGCATCAGCCTGCTCCAGGCTGAATCCCGTCCCCCTCGGCCCCTCCAGCCGCGTGTCCCTCTTAGTGCGTGGTGCTGTCCGCCACGCGGCTGGCCGTGCCAGGAATCTCAGGATTATCCTTGACTCCCCTCTCTCTCTCTCTCTCTCTCTCACACCCCTCGTGTGGTCCACGGCCAAGTCCTTAGGATGTTACTGCCAGATGTTTATTGCGCGTGTCCGCCGTTCTCCTCTGCGGCCCCGTGGCCCGTCTGCAGTCCCAAGCCACCAGCGTTGTCCCCACGGCCTCCTCACTGCTGCTCCTTGCCACCTCTCGCACCTCTCCGCCCTGTTGGTCCGCTCTCTACACAGTCCGTGCGATGACATTCCCAAGACACACATCTGACTGCGTCTCTGCCCTGTTTCAGGCGTCTCGGCGACCTCCTGCTGCCTTGGGGGGGAACCGGACACTCCTTACGAGGCTCTTCCCGACTTGGCGCTGCGTGTCTGTCCGTTTTCACCTCTCTCCGGTCCCCCACTGTGTAATCCAGGTTCCAGCCACTCTGAGTAGCTCTGTCTCCCAGACCTGCTGGCTTTCTTTACTGCTGGGCCTTTGCACACGCTCTTCCCTGGCCAACAGCCAACAGCTGCTTGGGAGATTTAATCGTTAATAAGTAGTCAAAGAGCTGAAAGCAAAACAAGACAGGGATACTAGTTTGTCAAATGATGACTCAGACCTTCTTAAAGGTGTATGTTTGACTAAGACTTAAACGGTTGCAAGGAACCCCAGAGCAGTTTTGTGAAGTCATCTCTCTCTTTCTGCTTCCTTCCAACCTAACACTGTAACCCACAAAATCAGCATGATGGGGCGGGAGGGGATAGAGCAGGGCTTATCGTGGTGGGGGGGTCATCTGCTTGGCAACCTTAACTCCCCCTCTGTTATCCAGTCCTGCACTCTGCTAGAAGTTACGCATCAAAGGTATACTCAGATCTACCTCCTTCCTGTCCTGCATCGGTAGACCGGAGGAATGCCAACATTATGGGACGGTGGTGTGTCTTCAAGGGGAGAGATTGCAGGTATTTGAATACAATGAGACAATAAGGGGGTGCGGTATATCTCGGGGAGTAGCCCAGCCTTGCATGATGAGGCTGGGACATTGCTCAGAATGAACGCAGCTACCTCTGCGGAATTGCAGGCTTACGGGTGCGACCCAGGACCGTCTAGCTCTGTCTGACTCTGTGTTAGCTGCCCCTTCGGTGCTCACACCACCTCGTGATGTCCCTGCTGAAATCCCCATCGCCAGTTCTTCCCGGGGTACAGTCTCTGTAACAGTTTGGCCCATTCTGGAGTGTATTCCTTAGGTTGAGCCAAAGTGTGCACCCTGAACCTTTATGCCTTTGTTCTATTTCTATTTAAGTACAGCAGTGGGAAGAGTAAGGAGGAGACATGATCTTTGCTCTTAATCTAGTTTCATTTCCCGCTTATGATAAACTCAGTCCAAGTCAATGAGCTAAATCATTTATGTGTGGTTTTTAGAGCTATTTGGTAAATAGTTATTCTTTTTTTTTTGAGTGAGAAAGAGAGAGTGTGCACATGAGTCGGGGTGGGGAGGGGCAGAGGGAGAGAGAATCCATAGACTCCCCACTGAGTGAAGAGCCTGATACAGGGTTTGATCCCAGGACCCCGGGATCATGACCCGAGCCAAAGGCAGATGCTTCACCGACTGAACCACCTGGGCATCCCAAATAGTAACTTCTTAATTTTGAGCAAGGAAGACAGAATTCCTCATTTTACTATCAACTCATTGCTAGCCAAGGGTGTAATATTTTGATAATTTCCAAGAAACGTTTCCTGAGCATCTTCATTGTGTTAAGACACTGTTAGGTCCGGAAAGATGAGGTCCTGGACTTCAGGGGGTCGCACTCTAACTGGGGAGATAGCAAATGTATGTAAATAGAAAACTATCCCAGCCTGCAATGCATGTCAGATACAGGCACGAAATGAAAAGGTAGAGAATATTAAGAATATAGAAGTTCAGGGCTTGGCCCTGAATAGAAAGAAGTCCACCCAAGAAACTGTTCATTTCCTTCCTCCAGTGCATTTATCCACGCTGTAGTTACGGGGCCAGTTGCTTTCCCCCTGTGTGTTCTTCTTGGCAGACACTTGTGATCTGGGTTGCAAAGGGAGGGGGGGGTCATACCTGGTTTCTTGCCACTGCAGCCTGGGGATGAGGCTCTTCGCTGCCGTTGGTAGAAATGTTTGAGCAGGCACGTCTGTCCCTGGCACCGTGGGTTCCCACGGCCTCAGCAGCTTAGCATGTGGCAGCTTTGGGGCTGAGGTGCAAATCGAGCTTCACGGTGTCTGGGACGAGCTGGTTAGACCTCAGATCGTCCCTCCTGGCATGGCTTATGTAGCCTGTTTACCTTTCTGGTTTGCCCATGTTATCACGGCTTAGAAAAGAGTGAGCTTTTGTGTCTGCAGTTGTAATTGTAAGTTCTTAAAAATTTCACATGGGGTTTGCTTGCATGGTGTGTACAGCGAAACGAGATCGCTAAATGGAAGAGAGGGGCGGCCTCTTTCATGAACTTGTCCTCGGAGTGAGGGCCACTCGGGCAATTAGGTGAGCCAGGAGTCTTTCCACGGAAAGCACATAATCTGATTCAACATGGCTTAATTGAAAATGGGATTTTATTGGCTCAGAGACTGAAAAATCCACAGAAGGGCTAGCTTTCGATACGGTTAGATCAGAGTTCTCAAGATCAATTTTGACTCTGCCTTCATCTGGGTTGGCTTCAGTTCCAGGTGCCCCATGGTGGCCCGTGGTGGCCTATGGTGGCCTGTGGTGGCCCCTGGCAGCTCCATGTTCCACAGCAGCCTTGCCATTCACATTCCTGGCAGAAAGAAGCAAGTCTGCGAGTAAAATCCTGCTCTTATTCTCACTGACCCAAATTGGGTCAAGTGGCCATCCCCCAAATCAGTCACTATGGCCAGGGACATGGACGAGGCCAGCTCCTGGGCCGTTTACTGTGAGCAGGGAGGAGCATGTGCCCACTGCCCAGTGGGTCCTGTGTCCACCCCTGCAGCACTGCTCCAACCACTGAGCTGGGAGTCAGGTGGGGGACTCGCCACGGGAAAAACAGGCACTAGGTCGGAGCAAGGGGGATGGACACTGGACAGTCCCAAGTTCAGACTCACCTGTCCTGTCAATCATTTCTGAAATTCCTTTTTTTTTTTTTTGAGGATTTATTTGTTTTGCGGGGGAGGAGCAGAAGGAGAGGGAGAGAGAGAATCCTCAAGCAGACTCCCCACTGCACACGGAGCCCGGATGTGGGGCTGGATCCCATGACCCTGAGCCGAAACCAAGAGTCGGACGCTCAACCGACTGTTGAGCGCCCCCCTTTCTGGAATTCTGTAGAACATAGCAAGCTGTTTGCCGTCACTCTGTCCGTGCTGCCGTTTTATTTCTCCTCTTTCCAGAGGCTCTTTGGGAATTCATACCTGTGTGTGGGCCCCTGAAACGTGACTTGAATGAACGATCGTAATGGAGACTTTCTCGTCCTCAACCCACTTTAAAGTAATTGAATGGGACGTTGTCAAGGACAGAGTCTTCGAGCATAACACGTGCAGCTTCCTCCTTGGTGTTCGTGAACAGTGCTGTTGGGAGGGGGAGGCTTGGTTCACTGAAAGTAATTCCCGTTAAATTGACCTCATTTCTTTCTCTAACAGGATTGCGTGGCCTCGGAAAGAATATAATAAAGAGAGTGGGTGTGAATTTCATCAAGGTATTTGACAGAGTCATGGTATCCTTGAGGGTAAGCTGAATAAATTTAGATCGGATCATAATACTTCTTTCAGAAAGTATTTATCGCACGCCTGCTCTGTGTGAGCCGTGACGGGGGCAGAGCAGGGAGCGGGGTGGACCGGTCCCCGTCGCCGCAGAGCTGACGAGCCTGTGGTCCTCGCCAGGACAGGTTTGTGCGAGCCTGTTGCGGGGCTCCATGCTGTCCCGTTCAGCGCTCTGTTGCCACTTAGATGTCCCGCTGTCCCCAAGGAAGTCTGAGTTCATCCTTATCATTCTCTTTGTGTTTTCCCCATTCCTGTCAGTAGACGGTTTGGAACATAGGATGATCCTTGTCTCTTTTCCACCCCTCTGGTTTTCACACATCGCCAGATTTTTCTTTGCAATGTTTTTATCACCTGTCTCGAATTCCAGCTTTGGGGGAATCTTTTGTCTACAGTTTTGATTCTTCAGATCAGTTCCATTGGAATAAACTTCAGATTGGTTTCCCGGATATACTAACTTTCCTAAAATACCTTTTGGGGCAGGTCACCTCCCCTCTTGAAGCCTTTCCCTGGGCCCTGGATAGATCTGTATACCTGAGCAGACCCTGGTTCCTTGCCAAAAGAAGGGACACTGGTTAACCCTGAAACACTGAGGTCACCCTCTGGACCTTCCCTGTCCTTCCGCCTCGACTCCTGCTTCAGCCAGAGGGGTCTGCTGGACAGCGGTTTCCCAGCAATCCAGAACATAGATGGGAATCACATAAATCTCATTTTGACCCTTTCTCCTGTGGGACTTACAGCCTTCAGGCCTCAGACTTCTCCCCTGCAGACGGTGTCGTGCACTGCCTCCCAGCCGTTGGGAAGCTCGCGGGAGGCCGTGTCTGCAGCACGCTCAGGACACGGTCACTGCTCTGTGCGGGTGCTCAGAGTCGCTGTGCTGGCCGCGCTGCCGTGGAGCTGTCTCCCGAGAGCATCCCGTGTGTGTCGCCGTGGACTCTGCCCCCGCCGTTTCCCCGGGCTGGGGTGTCTCGTGTCCCTTCCAGGCAGCATCTTTTATTTAGTCTAGTGCCTGAGAGCATTGCCTTCTGAGTCAGACTGACCTGAGTTCGAATCTAGACTCTAAAATTCGGGCAAGTTACTTACCGTCTCAAAGTACACGTTTTTTCCATGTGAAAATTGCGGATGAGCACAGAACGCACTCCCTGTGTTGAGAGGATGGACTAGGATATGTGTGAAGGGCCTAGTTGGGTCCCTCGCACAGTTAGGGCTCGGTGAATGCCAGTTGCTGTTCCTGAGCTCAGCTGCCTTTTCCAGACCTTCCTTGACTGCCCCCAAAACCTCACTCCTTCCTTCTCTAATTCCCACTCACCTGGCTTCTCACATATACCCCCCGTTTTATTTCTCCTTGGGGGTACATTTCTTTTATTGCTGATAGACTTCATGAAACTGATTTATAATATGAAATATATATATATTTGGTCTTTGGTGCTGGTTTCTGGCACAGAGCTCCTTAGTAATTTCCTTAGTGATAAGAGTGATAAAGGTGGGGCACCTGGGTGGCTCAGTCGTTAAGTGTCTGCCTTCGGCTCAGGTCATGATCCCAGGGTCCTGGGATCAAGTCCTGCATCGGGGTCCTTGCTTGTCGGCAGGGGACTGCTTCTCCCTCTGCCGCTCCCCTTGCTTGTGCTCTCTCTCTCTCTCTCTCTCTCTCTGTCTGACAAATAAATATATTCTTTAAAAAAATTAAAAGAGTGATAAAGGTGTCTTGATATTCATTAAAATGTCTTTCAACTCCACCCGAGTTTATGTCAATGAGATAATGTTTGGAAGGCACCGAAGGGTGGGGGCTAGTTACTGGGGGGACCAGTCATGTCGCTGGAGGGTCAGAACTTGCAGTTCGGGGAGGCCAGTGGCCAGTGATTTAATCAGTTGCACCTCTGTCTTGAGGCTGCCATAAAAACCCAGGAGGATGGGGTTCAGAGAGCTTCTGGGTTGGTGGACACATGGAGATTTGGGGAGACTAAAGCTCTGCACCCTTTCCACACCTGGCCCTCTGCACCTCTTCCATCGGGCTGTTCCTGAGTTACAGCCTTTTATAGTAAATCAGTGATCCAGCAAGGGTAGTGTTTCTCTGAGCTCTGTGAGCTGCTCACAGACCCCAGGAGTGGCCGTGTAGCTGGAGGGTCCGAGGCCCAGGTGACAGCTGGGACTTGTGATGGCCTCTGAACGGGGCACAGTCTTGGGGACTGAATCCTTCACCTGTGGAGTCTGATGCTGTCTCCAGGCAGCATCAGAATCGGTTTCATTGTAGGACATCTGGCTGGTGTCGGGGAGGTGCTTGGTGGAAAGAACACTCGCTGGAGACTGGGATTCTGGAAGATTCTGGAAGCACAGGCCTTCTCCTGGGTCCCCGTACTCCTGGTGCGTGGTGTGGTGCTCATCGTAGATTTTGAGTAGAAGTTCACTGAGGTAGCGGCCAACGCTGTGATTATCGTGAATTCAGACAACGCTTACGTAGAGTAATGGAAGATCAGTATTTTATATCCCTTCAAGGAAAGCCGGATTTTAAAAATAATTAGAAGCATGTGCCTAGGGGCACTTAAAAAAGTAGGTCAGAAGTAGTTGTTTTAGGGGCGCCTGGTGGCTCAGTCAGTTGTGTGTCTGCTTTCGGCTCAGGTCATGGTCCTGGGGTCCTGGGATCGAGTCCCACATCGGGCTCCCTGCTCAGCAGAGAGCCTGCTTCTCTCTCTCCCTCCCGCTCATGCTCTCTCTCAAAGAAATAAATAAAAATCTTTATATATAAAAAAGAAATTGTTTTATAAGATGCTGTGACATTTTTATTTGGTGCTTGTGAGTAAAGGGTTGACATCAGTCCTGGGCGGGAATGACCTTGGACGTGATCTTGTCCCAGCACTGGTTTGGGGACGCTGCAGGGTTCAGATCGAGGTGGAGTATTATACCTACCTGTCTGCTGCGGTTACCATACCTGGGCTGGTTGCTGGGAGTCCAAGTGCAGGCTTTGGGTCTGTGGGTCTGAGTGCGTGTGAAAGACTGGTGGGACCTGGCAGGTGTGGGGGGTCTGCAGGCAGCCCGGCTCTTGATGCCTCCGTGTGCGCGGAGGGGGCCGCTCTGTGTCCTGGAATGCCGTGTACACGTGGTAATACCAGGCTGAGAGTGGTTTGCATCTCCCGGGTCAGAGCACCGAGCCGAATCCCGTCTGCGGGTGGTACTCGGCCGGGCCCTGGGGGGACTCTCAGGCCGCCGCCCCCACGGACAACTGTCACAGTGTGCTTGGGAATTCTTTGTTGAATTTTCTGAAGCCAAGAAATAAGTAGTTCTAACATCTTACGTGGTTGGATGCTTCATGATGATTTATAGCAACAGCTCATGCTCTTACTGGAAGTGATGTTTCTAGACCTTGAACGTGTCTCTTTTGCTTCACAAAAATCCCCTTCACTAATTTTAGGTGAACTTTCAAAATAGGTCGTCACGCCTAAAAATAAAGCACCTGTAACTTTGGAGTGCATCACATGGGGCCGTGCGGGAGTTTCAGGGGACCTCTGTCTGCACGGTGGAGAGCTGTCCCCAGACGTAGGCGTGGGAAGCGGGGCAGGCCCTGCGGTCCTCACCGCATCTGCCTGGTCGTCACATGGGAGGTGGAGTGACTGCTCGAGGACTCGCGGGCGGTTAGTGATGCTGGTACCCCTGTTCTGCTGCTTCCCCCCCGCTGCCCGTGGGAGTGCCATCGCCCTTCCCAGCACCTCCTTCGGGAAGATCGCTGTCCGCCTGGGCTGTGTTTCTCCATCCCTGCCTTCTGCACGAGCGTGATTCCCAGAGCAGGTACCCTGGGTGGGTGATCGTGCTCGCCGGAACATGGTCCTAGTTTCCCAGGGAAGAGCATGCGCTAAGTCACCGTATCTGAAAGCACACTGGTCTTGAAGTCAAGACACTTTTCCCCCAGGCACTTTAGATTCCAGGAAATGCACAGGAAGAACAGCAGGGGCCTTCATTTGAATGGTGAGCGCCCTGGCACAGGCTTCCTGGTGCGTTCCAGCATGCGGGAGCTACTTTAGAGTGCATGCTCATTTCACAGGGTGGTGATTGACTTTTTGTTAACTCCCAGCCCATTAAGATTAAAAGGTACTTCCTTAGAGGTGATGGCCTGTTAGGCTTGGCAAGATGGGCGAACCTGCTCCGCGCTCTGTTCCAGCATAACGATTCATCGAGGGTCCTGTTGCACACAGAAGCATCATTCAGGGCTGAGCCGGGTGACTTAAAACTCCCCACATATAAAACTTAAAATGTTTAAACTTTTTCTTGTTCAGTTTTTATTTTATTACCTTTAATTGAGACGTTAAAATGTCTGTTAGGCTTATGTATGTTTCTGTCTATGTTCAATTCAGAGAAGAGGCAGAATTATTAGGAGGAGTTTGAATTAGAAAAAAGTAAATTGTGATCCTTAAAGGTAAGACCTGTGTGGGAACAAGCCCCACCATGGGTTCCCGTGGCCGCAGAGACGGTGCCTCGTCTTGCCCACTGCTCTCTTCCTCAGCAGGTGGTCCCTCATTCTCTGTCTGTCCTTCTATCTCCCTGGGGCCCTCCCCCAAGGATTAATGAACAGTCCTGGGCAGACCCAGGGACCCTGGAGCCCCCAACTGCATGTCACCTCCCTCTTGTTCATCTGTTGTGCGGGCCAGAGCTAGGAGTGTCTGTTTGAATGCCTTCAGCAGCGAAAACACCCCTTTAAAATTCTTCATTGTAGCATTTTGAAAGGTCACAAGACTGGGATGTTCCTTTATGACACATTATGACATGTTCTTTCTAGAAGAGTGGGTTAGAGAATTTTCCCCATTGACACGTGAGGGCAAGAGGTGACCTCAGGGACGCAGCGCCGGTAAATGAAATGAAAGCTCACCTTTGCCGGTAGGGACTGGTTAGTATTGGGGTGAGGTTTCCACTCCAGGGTGTGGAGGGATCTGCTGGCTGGCCGTCCTGCAGATACTTGTCTTCTTCGCCTCACACCGCTGCCTGAGGGACCTGAGAACTCATCTGGCTTGTGGTCCTCCTGTGCCTGGACCAGAAGTCCAGCCTCTGTAGCAAGATTGAGGAGAGAGGAGAGAGGTGTGAGTGTGTTTCCTCTTTTCGAGAAGGTCTCTGTGCCTTAAGCCTGAAATGCCCCTCGTCTTTGTCAGCTCTTTGGGATCTTAATTATCCCTTTTCAAGGCTCAGCTTAAATGCTGCCTCCTCCCAAATACAGCGACTTGGCTGCTATAAACCTCTATTCTCTCTCCCCCATTTGTGCTTTTAATATCAGATAAATGGCCTCTGTATGCACTTACTGTAAATACAGCATACGTATTGCTTTGAAAATCCTATGCCGTAAACCTGTCCATCACCCCGAAAGTTTCCTCCCGCTGTCTTGATGATGATGATGATGGTGACGATGATGCTAAGAACATTGAGGATCTGCTTCACTGTCCTGGCAAGCATCCCCGCAAACACACCGCGTTCTCAGCTGCAGGCACGATGTCGCAAGGCCCGCCTCCGGCTCGTTAGCCCCTTGCTCACCTGATTCTGCCCCTGCTTGTTTCCTCCCGCTCCCAATTCATTCACTTCTATTTTTTATCTCTCTTGATTATTACATCCCTGCGCTCCTGTCCTTTTTTTCTGACCCTTATTCATTTACTTTCATTCTTTCCTGTTTGTTAATAAAAACATTTAAATTTTCTAATTTTTTCCTCTGAGCATAGCTTTAATGACATTCCGCAGATTTTGACATATAATGTACTTGGTCCTGTTATCTTCTGTTTTATGACCATAGGACTGTATGCTTCATTGGCTCAGGAGACAGCTAACATCGTTTTAAAAATTTCTAAAGTGTTTTGACCACTTTTGAATTTCACTGCTCTGGAGTAAGGGAATATTGACACATATGATTTATCATTTTTGGATTGATTAGCTCTTTCTGGGTTACACATTTTGCTTACTGCACTTGAGTTAGGAACTGCATTCAACTCTAAGAAACAGAAATCCTGCGGAATGGGCTTACACAAGGAAAGGAGTTATTTTTATTTTCATGCCACGAGGACTTCAGTGGCCAGTGGTGGTTGGCATGCAGTGTCTGCGGTCTTCCTGGCCTTTTGTGGTTGCAGAACGGCTGCGCAGATCCAGCCATCACATCTGTATCAGGCTCGAAGAAACAAGGCGAGGGGCACTGGTTGAGTGTCCCTGCTTTAAGGAGCGTCTCTGGAAACCCTTACATCTCATTGGCTTGAACTGTGATGACCCCTGTCCATAGGAGGGTTAGGAATATAGTTTAAACAATTGTTTTTTTTTTTAGCAAGTCACAGTTCTGTTAATAAGGGAATGCTGGCAAGGTGGGTGCTGGGGCAATAGCATTTGCTGCTGGTGAGTGTTGTGCAGACTTGCAAAAGTCTGTCGTCTGTGTGTGGGGATGGGGCGAGGTCTGCAGCGGTGTGCGCGGACACAGACCCCCACGCTTGTGACGTGGTTTAAACTGCGTTTCTGTGTTGAGGTTGACATCTGAGAGGGTGTTCTGTCCCGAGGCACTGAAGGATTTCATTTCTCTCATT